ATTTTATTCCCAAATAAATGGTGCTTTAAAATTCTTAATAAAATTACTTGGGTTACTATGGAAACGTATTGAGGTTGAATTGTCAAACTTGACGCTTATAAATTTAATTGCTGGTGTTCTCGAAACTAAAATGATAAGTGATGATGAAATTTCCATTCCTGTGACTCCTCCAGAGCTGGTTGGGGCAGTGAATACTGCTTCATTTGAATTATTGCCAAAGAAATCAAGAGAAAAGTACGAAAATGCATACAGACGTTTTATGGATTATCGCATGAGTAAAAATACGAGTTCTTTCTCAGAAAATGTTGTAATGGCATACTTCCTAGACCTTTGTTTAAAGATGAAATCTTCAACATTATGGGCCAACTATTCAATGCTGAAGTCAACCCTTGCACTTAAACACAATGTAGATATATCTACATACTCAAAACTTCGTTCTTTATTGAAACGCCAAGCTCAAGGTTATAGGGCAAAGAAATTTAAGATTTTAACGAAGGAAGAAATTGAAAAATTTATCCAGGAAGCTCCAGATAAAGAAAATTTAATGATTAAGGTAATTTACAAGGTTTTAATTTCTATTTAGATTATAGCTTTATTTATTTTTTAGGTGGCTGTAATATTTATTATTTCTGGGGCCTGTAGAATGGATGAGTTAGTCCGAATGATTGTACACGATATAGAAGACTTAGAATCTAAGCTTTTAATCAGCATACCTGATTCGAAAACCAACAAACCAAGATCATTTGTAATTAGTCAGATCTACTTGAATGTTTATCGAAAGTATGTTTCGTTAAGACCAGAAAATATGAACAGTGACCGATTTTTCTTTAAATATCAAAGCGGAAAGGGTTGTAGACAAGTGGTAGGAATTCATCAATTTAGAAAAATGCCCAAAATAATTGCTACTTATTTGAACTTGGTAAATCCGACAGAATATACTGGTCACTGCTTTCGTCGGTCTTCTGCAACAATATTGGTTGACTCTGGTGCCGACATAACTAGTTTAAAGAGGCATGGCGGATGGAAGTCATCAAACGTTGCTGAAGGATGTATCGAAGAATCGCTTAACAATAAGGTTGGGGTGGCAAATAAAATTTTCACAGTGCAAAATATTCAACAAAATGACACTTCCACCCTGCATGTTGTCCAAAATGTTTCTCATAGTTCTAAGAGTGTTCCTCCAATGTTCAATAATTGTACTAACTGCCAAATTACTGTAAATATAACAAATTGATCTTAAAAATGTATTCAGCAATGACTTGATGTTTTCAAAATATAAATTAATTCCTTATAAGCAATGTGTTTTCTATCATTTATGTAGAACACTAACAGCTGTACGGAAATATCATTTCCTTACAGTAAGGAAATGACATTTCCTTACAGTAAGGAAGTCCTGACTTTTTCTTCAAGAAATTTTGACAGGAATGTCAAAATTTTCTGGCGATTTGCGGAAAAATTAGTTTTTTATATAAAACTGCTGCTTACATACTAATTACAAAAAATATTATTAACAAATGTCCTATTCTAATTAATGTTTCTCTGAAATAAATTTTGATAAAGTGTCTTAACAAAAACAATTGAATTTGTAAACAAAAATTGAATAGCTACAAACCAGCCTAAATGTCATAAATACTAACTTATAAATTTTAATTTTTGACATATTGTCAAAAATATTGTCATTTGTAATTAGTCAGATCTACTTGAATGTTTATCGAAAGTATGTTTCGTTAAGACCAGAAAATATGAACAGTGACCGATTTTTCTTTAAATATCAAAGCGGAAAGGGTTGTAGACAAGTGGTAGGAATTCATCAATTTAGAAAATGCCCAAAATAATTGCTACTTATTTGAACTTGGTAAATCCGACAGAATATACTGGTCACTGCTTTCGTCGGTCTTCTGCAACAATATTGGTTGACTCTGGTGCCGACATAACTAGTTTAAAGAGGCATGGCGGATGGAAGTCATCAAACGTTGCTGAAGGATGTATCGAAGAATCGCTTAACAATAAGGTTGGGGTGGCAAATAAAATTTTCACAGTGCAAAATATTCAACAAAATGACACTTCCACCCTGCATGTTGTCCAAAATGTTTCTCATAGTTCTAAGAGTGTTCCTCCAATGTTCAATAATTGTACTAACTGCCAAATTACTGTAAATATAACAAATTGATCTTAAAAATGTATTCAGCAATGACTTGATGTTTTCAAAATATAAATTAATTCCTTATAAGCAATGTGTTTTCTATCATTTATGTAGAACACTAACAGCTGTACGGAAATATCATTTCCTTACAGTAAGGAAATGACATTTCCTTACAGTAAGGAAATGACATTTCCTTACAGTAAGGAAGTCCTGACTTTTTCTTCAAGAAATTTTGACATTCCTGTTCGCATTTCTGGCGATTTGCGGAAAAATTAGTTTTTTATATAAAACTGCTGCTTACATATTAATTACAAAAAATATTATTAACAAATGTCCTATTCTAATTAATGTTTCTCTGAAATAAATTTTGATAAAGTGTCTTAACAAAAACAATTGAATTTGTAAACAAAAATTGAATAGCTACAAACCAGCCTAAATGTCATAAATACTAACTTATAAATTTTAATTTTTGACATATTGTCAAAAATAAAATTTTGTTTAAAAAATTCTTCTTTGTTTATTAACAAAAAAGATGAAGATTTATTCACCATTGATAGATGCCTAAAAAAATTTAACAAATACATGAAAAATTCAAAATGTGACATTTTACTGACTGCATATATATATATATATATATATATATATATATATATATATATATATATATATATATATATATATAAATTACATTGAAATAATACATTATTATAAATTTTGCTTAGATTTTGAATTTCTGACCTTTTGTTTAAATTATTATCACTTTTGCTAATACAAACCATTTCCAAAAAAGTTCTTTGAAATTTATTACTTTCACTACACAAAATTTGCCATGCTCTGCCAAAGCACAATGTGTTATATTTAGATGAGGAAATCCTTAAGAAATTGGAATACTAATGTGCTAAAAAAATTTTATTTCGCACTGTATTTAGTTATTTTAAAAATTATGATATTACAAATAGATATGTTTATGCCATCTATACAGGCAACCAAAGATACACTGAAGTAAGTTTGGTTGTTGAAACTTTTGTGAATAAGAGTGATATGGGACATTTGAAATAATAATTATGGATTCGAATAGTGTTATTTACTAATTTAAGATGTTTCATTTATATATAAGTTTACGTTCCAATATGAAGAGCCTACGCTGTGATTTGGACTATCAGGTATTCACTATTCGGTATGCAGTATTGAAAGAGTATTAAGTATTAAGTATTCAGTATTAAAAAAGTATTGGAGAATGTTGGAGTAAAAGGTCAAGATTAAAAATTATATTATATGTATGGAGACTAAAACAAATTAAAAATTATATCGTTTATATGGAGATTGGATATTGGAAGAGAAAAAAAGATTATTAGAAAGAAGAATAAACAAGAAAGCAATAAAGAAGGTAGAATATTTTACCTATTTATAAAAGTCATTAAGAAAAAAAATATTTTGAAATGGAGGAAGCTGATAATTAAAACATTGTGGTCTATTTGGCAAAGCGATTTCATAAAAAGAAGGATAACCAGAGGCTGATAAGAAGACATTGAGTGGTGATTAAAACTTTTATTTTGCAAAACAATATTCATTTAGGCATTCAGTGACAGAAACGTACCAAATTTTGTTAGTATAATTTAATTGTTGTGATAAAAATTTTATTTTAAAGATAGGTTGTTTTACATTTATTTTTCAATATTATCTAAATTAGATATATATGTCTGTTTCATAATAATTATAATAAAGATAATTTCAGAAAGTGCTTACAAACTAATTCTTTGAAACCCGCGACAAAAACCCGATATATATGTTATTCAAAAATACTCATTGCTCATAAAACAATACCACCAACAAAATATCATAGCAATATATATATATATATATATATATATATATATATATATATATATATATATATATATATATATATATATCATCCGGTATATCCTCACCATTTTCAATTTTTTCTATTTCCTCCAGAATTTCTGCAGTAGCTACTGGTTTCTAAAACAAAATTTTCTCAGTACAATATGACAATATGTCATGTACCTATCAAAATATAATATTATATTTTTGGCCTATATAAAATTATTTTTATACTAGTAATATTATAGAGTGTTAACAAAACTTATGTTTAACTATATAAAATGAGTTTTATCAATAAAATCTTTTATTTAAATGTACTTACAAATTTTTAAATGAAGCCATGCTGCGAACGTTATTCAAGGTCTATTTTGATGTACACTGTATGAAAACCAAAAACTAAAGCAAAATAAACAGTTTCCAGTAAATAAACTGCTTACTTGCATAGTCAGGAATGAACTTGTAAACGGCCACTGGTATATTCGACATATTTGCTTGGAGTATATATTTGTTAGTTGGGTCGTTAACGACCCGTTGTTCACAAATGAGTTAAACTCCATCACTTGTTCTATTATCTGAACTTCCAGCTCTTTCATTGCCGCATATTTTTAGGTGACCTGAAACTCATGCCAGTGTGATACATTTATGTTGCACCAATCTGTCGAGTCGATCTCGACATTTCTTAACTATAATAGCGTAGCGATACTGCAGATCTAATGCACTGTTATACCGTAGCGTACACGTAAGGGTTTATAAGAGTCTCCATGGCTGCTTAGTTATATGTACATATATTGATCCGCTTCACTTTGAGAGCTCTCGTGTTAACTCCTCTTGCAAACTGCATTTTTTTTGTATTACTATTTTGTGATGTATATCAATATCTTTCCATTTTGTGTAAGATTTTCAAAAATATGCATCTACGTGAGGCTGTATTTTATAGTTAAATTAACAATGTTGTATCCAAAACCTGGTGTTAATATAATTCTAAATTTTGGATGAAATTTTTTGTACTTACTGAGACAAGTAGGATGATTGTAATAACTTTGACAAGTATAATAGGATTTCAACGTAGACAACTTGTACTGCATATTACAAGAAAATCGTAAGATAGTGAGAGACGATACAACATCACCAGGCTTTTTTTCTATGCCACCTTTGATAAACCATTTCCCATTTTTTGGATATGCTGGAAGTATGCAGTCCTCTAAGTGATTTTTAGTCATTTCCCTGATTATAAAATTGTAGTAGAATGGAACATTAGTATATAAGGCGTTCGTTTGGTAATTACACTCAAACATATTTAACTTTGGTGCTATGCTTACGAGTCCCTGAAGGTAGTATCTGTAAAATAGAGAAAATCCTGTTATCTCTATAAAACCTCTTAAAAGTTTTTCATTTGTATTACATAACAACCTATAAATATAATATATAATATAATATTATATAAACCTGTAAATTTTTTAAAACAGGGTTATGATCTACGTAAGTATATAAAACATACGAACAAAATTATTAGTTTTTGTGGTTGAAGCTGATTATTGGAGGTACATAGAATGAATACTAATGAAACTAGTAAGAATAGGCTTACTTGCTAAATCACTTTGTTTGGCTCACTTTGATGTCGAATTTGATTGTTCTTGTCGTACAATTACGATTATGTACATAATTATGTAAAATCATTACCAGTGTGAGATTTTGTTTTGCTTTGTCCATAAATATTTTTATTTCTGAAGGCTGATAATAGAGGAGAGGAGGAAATATTAATAAGAGTTGGCTTAAGCAACGATTTTAAAATTGAAGTTGGAATTATAGGAATGATACAGCATGAATATGACATCGTTTTTCGAATGTGAAAAACTAAGCACTTGTCTTAGTATAAAATATACAATTTGAAAATTAGATGGGATTAGATGGGTTTTTACAAAAAGTAAGCAAGACAACACTTATCTATAATTTACAAAGATTAAAATAAAAAAAATAAGTCTGATTAAATACAATAAATTAATAAATAAATACTGCTTGCTATATGTGGTGGTTTCTTATCTCACTAAAGAAGAAGCTGCAAGAAAGCTACTTAGTAATTTTTATTACCATTGTATGTTAAGTGAATTTGCTACTGAACTATTATATGTTAAATATGTAACTGTGTTTTTATATGTTAAATAACATTGCTGAAAGGTTTTAAAAACAGACGTAGAAAAACGAACAGCCAATATTAGTTTTCACCAACAAAAATGAAGGTTCTATTATTAATCTTGTGAATTAATGCCGAATGTGCATACATGTAGAATTACAAAACAAATCGCAATAGGATTATAATTCTATATATAGAAAGAATTGTGAATTTCTAATTCCTTCAGAAAGGTGTGATTAAACTGAGACAGAAAAATCTAGGTAAAGGTCTGACATAATTTTTGTAATGTTTCAAAAACAAGTCTGGAAACATTAAATATATTTTTTTAGAAAATATAAAACTAAATTTGCTTTCCTAACGGCTTTGGCTGTTTCAGAAGGCCAGCCTAATCGGTTAACCAAACGACCAAGATCATAATCCTCTTGCAGCGATTTTATCGGATTCTTATCCAGAATATATCTTACAGATAGATCATTGTATTCACATTACACGACAGAATACTCACAAAGACTATCAAATGAGTTAAGTATAGCTAGAAGTAACTATGACAATAAAATTAGTTTAAATCGCCCGAAAGATTTTGACGCAAGGACGTAAAAAGAGACTATATTCCTACACATTTTATAAAAAAGATACGAAATACGTATACCTATGGTCTTCTCGGTTTTCAAAAACAAGTCCGCTTCCACTGTCTCCTTTACAAACTGCAATACTTTCATTTTGACGACCAGCACAAATTTTATCAATAAAATAATATTGTTCTTCCCAAGTTTGTGGCAGTTCTTTAGCACACGTAGCACCATCTTTGTATGGTATGCTTATTACTTTAAGGATTTCTGAAGCATTTCCTTTTTCAGTAAGGCCCCAACCTGCTACCTAAAAATTGGCGATCGGTATTAAATATTATTGTAAAATAAGTTGTTCAAATTGGTAAACTAATTAATTAACAGTAAGATAAAGAAATTTACACTGCTGCATTAAGAATTAAAGAAAAAATCCACAATGTGTTTCATAAGATACTAGCTCAGTAAAGTAGTCATAATTTCTTAAAACATCTAGCAATAATAAAGTAAAAAAAGAAAGATTTCCACGGAAAGTATAAAAAAAAGTTTAATTTAAAAACAGAAGCAACATGGAATAAATATTTATAGATATTTACCAAAAAGATCAAATCGCTCTCCGACTTCGTTAGTGCCATAACCCTAAAAAAATGGAAAATTGTCTTTTGGCCTAATATGTTCATTTAGGTGTTGTCTTCATTATGCAATAATTTTATATAATTTAGTTATCTTAAAAGTAGGATATCGAGCATATGTCGTTATCACATTTTCCGGTTTTGGCGCTCCCTGCGATAGCAAGGTAACCACAAGAGAGTTTACGTTTCGCTGTGGTCGAGAGTAGATGTGCGGTAAGTAGATTTCATTTTTCAATATTGCCCTAACATGTAATCATGCATTTGTTAACCAAGAAAAATTACTCAATTAAAACTTCTCTAGTGCCTTAACCTGTGGTATGGCAGTAATGCAAATTGGAATTGTGGGTTTGTATGACACACTCGACGTTGCTGACTGCCTTAACCTGTGTTATGGCTGTAATGCCAACTTGATTATAAATACATTTCCGACGGTAGATAATTTGCAATAATGTTACATTATGTGCTAAGGCGTTACTTTAGGATAGCTAGAACTGATCTATGCTGGGATAAGACGTTATTACTTATTATTATCAGTCGTTTAAAAGTCGTAAATTTAAGGGATTTAAAACAAATTTGTGGCATATTCTTTTAAATCATGAAACTGAGTTTTTAATAGCTGTATGTAGCTTAATATGGAGTTGGCCCTTCATTGTTCGGAGTCAGAATTTCATTTTGACATATTGGATTATCACATTCCTTAATACATGGACTGCAGTATGTATAAATACATTTAACAAACATAATTAATATTTTCCTTCCTATTTATTTAGCGCAATGAATACCAATTCAAAAGCCGCCTTGATGCTACGCCTAGTTCGCGACAATTACTTGCAATACGAAGTAGCAAAGGACGGTGATCATTCTGTAACGTCAGAAATTTAATTTGATGGCCCTGGTTACATTAAGTAGTAGAAGGCATAAGTGATAAGTGCGTACCTAAGGACTAATAACCAGAGATCTTTCGAAACAATAACATCGGATGTACAGTTTAAACTTAACTCTGGCATTTTTTGTTTTGCAGGCACAAGAGAGGCTATCAATCCTGAAATTTTATTCGCCCCAATTTATTCTGAGACTGATACCCCTATAGAAAGACATGGAATTAAACATTTTGAGACTAAATCAACTATAAAAAATCCTGGAATGAAACTTGTTCAGACGACTGGTATCCCTGATGTGAACATCCATTTGACTATCCTCCGAAATGTTGTATTTACGTATACCGGCGATGAGAATCCTTCTCACGATTGCAGTAGCTTTGATTCCGTTGCGACCCTACCCATGCGTCTAAAGGAGATTCTTTGTTGACTTCTTCCAAGAACGACAATTACGAAAAAGATCCAAATTCGGCAAAAAAAAACGCACGAAGAAAATACGAAAATTTAAGAGAACTAGAGAAACTGCTAAAAAATTGCGAAACAAAGGCAAAGTCTAAATATCAGTGGCTACTGGAAATTTAGTGAACGGAAGAAAAATGGGACCAACATGTACTGAGAAATGTACTTTTAGATGTGGAACAAAAATTGGACCAGAGGTGCGTGAAATTTTATTCAATAATTAGTGGGAATTTGGCAATTTGGAAGCTCAACGAAGCTTCTTCGCTAAAACAATATCGGTTTTGCCCCAAAAGTCAGGTATACGAATAACGAGAATCCTAGAAAACTGAACAATGCTTTTAACTTTTTTCACTTGGGGAAAAAGCATAGAACCTGTAAGACGTTTCTTATGAATAATCTTCTCATATCAAACAGGCCTATTCGAACGGTGCTTGGAAAATTGAATCAAAATGGCTTCTTAGAACTAGATCTAAGAGGTAAACATAATAACCGGAAACGAGTAGCTCCTTATATCAAGCAATCAGTAAGCGACTTTATCAAGGACATTCCAAGGGTCAAGAGTCACTATGCAAGACAAAAACGACGATTGAGCTTATTTACAGCGGAAAAAGTTGAGCCAATATTTACCGAGACTACGTCCAGCAGCAGACAGGAAAAGGCAAAAAATTTGTGAACTTCTTAAGAAATTTTAATTATGAATGTATTCAGAAAAGAAAATTTAATGTTTCTTTATTTATACCCAATAAAGACCAGTGAAATTGTAACAAAATGGATGGGCTGGAGCGCCAATATGCAAGAATGTGTAGTGTAGCAATAGGGTAAACTTTAAAATGTACCTTGATACACCAACGAACTAATATGTGGACTAACAGAAGATGAAAGGGATTAGATAGAAGTAAATTATGCGAAAGAAATAAATAAAGGATAAATATGAATTTTTTAAAAAATAATAAAATTAATGCTGGCTAGCGACTATGCAGGAGAATGACCACTTGACAATCAAAGAGGGATTCGGCCAATTTGCATGCCCTACAGAGACCGTAAGATGTAAGAATTAATGACTAGAAACTACCAAGAAATAAACAGAAGAAAGATAAAGTTGCTCTACCGAATGTTTGGGCGCCAGGAAGTTGAAGGTTTTCTTCCAAGATATCTTGTATTGCTGAAATAATAAAAGTTGGATACTAATTGAAAGATTAATTTTTAATCACAACTTTAATAATTACCCAAAATTTATGTACAGACTATGTTAAATACTTATCTATGACCCACCACCTCTTATGTACAATTAACTAATCTATATTTACAATGAAAACCCCTGAATGCAATGATAAAACAGTTTCCCCTTTCCCAAATGTACCTATTTATGTGAAATGTTGACTAAGGTTATGCAAGTTATATAAATATAATATAAAATGAAATATATAATGATATAAATGTTACAATTATCGAATAAATGAAATAAAACCTCTCCGGATATGTGTGCACACTATAACCTGTTAACGAGAGATTCCAGGGGAGTTACAATCTCAACCCTTGATGAATAATAAATGTTTTAATAAATTTACAAGGACTATTATTTAAAAAAATGAACGTGATTATTATTAATAAAAAGTTAAAGCCTTGAAGAGGAAGTTAAAAGGTATTATTACAAATATTTAAATGAAAACAACAAAAAAATAAAACTAGTTCTTCCTGCCGGTTTCTTTCTCCGTGGACCTGGGAGGTGGTCCGGATGAAGAACTAGATGCAGGTGGGTAGAGGTCCAAAACTGGACTCCAATAAAGGTACTGAGACTTTTTACTCTTTAAACTAAAACCATATAATTCTTCCCCTGATGTTTAAATCCCCATAAAATTAAATTAAAAGTTTTCTCTTCCCCAGACTTGTCCTGGAATCCGTAACTAGGCTAAAAAAACACAGTTGTGTTACTACAAAGTCCTTTGTTCATACAAGAAAGTAAAGAAAAACCAAGAAATGTCAACACGTTGCTTCAAATTGAAGCAAAAACTATAATGTGTTTCTTTGAAAAAAAATAACCTTGGGACTGTATGAAAATGTTTGGATATATTAACCAGGTAATTTTAAGGAACGCCTGGTATATAGATTATAGAATCGAAAAAAAAGTATTAGCCGGTTTAAACGGTATGGAATTATAATAGATAATTGTTGGTTTTCATACTTGTAAAGAAATAAAATTATAAAAATTTATTACTTGTAATCTGTTGAGGTATTTAGGAAATAAATGGAATAGTTAAATAGACCAGAATGTATTTTGAAAGAGGATTAAAGAAATAGATTTAAATTTCACCAACAATGGCGGATGATGTGACATGTTTTTATATATAATTTATTTATAATTTAAAACTCACCGGCTGTGGTCCAAACTTAAAGTGTTTTCCCAAAACAACAAAATAACAAAAAGGCTTCTTTCAACACAACTGCTTTTCCAAAAAAAATAAAAAAATTAAACCAAACTCATGGAATAAAGATGGCCCCCACAGCCGCCTCTGAACACGTCTGCTCACTTCACGATTCCAAGACCAAGTAACGAACACACGATGTTACGGACGGAAACGAAGTAGAATTTTTACATAGAGGGCGCAACTTGCTGCCAACTTTTAGGCATAAAATTTACTGAAGTTATTTGAATTTTAAGCATATTTCAAAATGAATTTAATTTATAATTAAGTTAAAGGATTCCAGTGACAGGACAGTAAGTGGGTATTTAAGTAACGGACTCGTTACATTCCCCTCTTACTTGGAGAAAAAAAAATTTTTAAAGTGAAAAATTTTTTTTTTCTTTCACTTGACTGATTGGATAGATGTAGGTTAACCAATACTTCAACCATATGTGGAGCAATCAAGAATCGAGAAAAAAAATATAAACATATATATAAAAATTATAGCCATGGCACCAATTTGCCAAATACAGCTATAAACTATATTAACTCACTATAATACTTCCAAAACAATCTACATCGATTCACACGATTATAATTAACCACAGATTATGAGTGATGTAGAATAAAGAAATGGTTTCATCTAAAGATACCCACATGTAACTAAGTAAGAAGTCACATACTATTTAGAGTAAAATTAAAGTAAAGTGAAACTCTAACATAGCATAGTATAGACTAGTAATACAAATACTCAATACAAATAATCCAAAATAATGTGAAATCGGACCCTGGTTCCAAAATTGACTCATCAATGGACAACAGATTTATAGGAGAGCATATCCAAGGAATAATCAATCAGGCAAATGGGTGGACCGATACACAATAATAAGTAACAATAAAAATACCAAACGTATATAAAACAATATACGTAACAATAAAAAT